ACAAACCACCCACACAGACACACTCCATGCACACACACAAACTCAACATGCTCACACATAATATATACACCACACACACCACATGTACACACTACACCCACACACACAACCCCCCACAACACCCACACATATATATACCACACAAGTGTATGCACATATTACAGACCACACATACATATTCACATACATGTGAACCACCCACCCACCCACACGCCATGCACACACACACAAACACCACACACACACCTTGTACAATGGAATGAATCCTCCACATAGTGAGGCCTATATCTTAAATCCTCAGTTAGTTCCCCAGATCAAAAGAGTAACAACTGAGGTGTGGCCTTCAAGGGCCATTTCAAGGGCAAGCACACTGGCTAAGAGGTTGCTGGGGGCCTACGGGCACCATAGACCATGTAAAACTTAATGTTTTGCGCATAGTATTTTGTTTAAACTTCAGGAAGACATCGTTATCCACCTTAAAAATCAACCCTCCTTGTGACTTTTCAGATTATCCCCAATAGTTAAAACCTTCATGAGTGTTACAGCCACCAGTTCACACACACAATGTGTTTGATTTATTTCCTCGGTTCCTGGCACTATCATCTCCCCACTCACCTGAGTTGGCTACAAATATCTGATTTCTGCTTCTCTCAATTCCCACCATCCCCATCCAATATGCATTTGTTCCCTAAGTACCGTAGACTCTCATTTGCATTGTTTCCACAGCCAACATCTGAGTGAAATGTGGTATAGCTCACAACATAGAACACATTTAAATTATTCCATGATGAAAGGGAAAACTGTTGTCTGGACAGTTTGGAATGTTAAGAGGAGAAAAACCTCATAGAAATGTTTGATAAGCTTTAGGAGATTTATGGACCTTGGTAAAGTTCATCCAAGGTGCACAGACCTTGGGTTAGGAGACTCTGACATTCTGTACTTTTCTAAAAAATTATTTTTAGTTATAGTAAAATATACATAGCATAAAGTTTATCATATTAACCACTTTTGAGTGTGTAACCAGCAGCATTAAGTATGCACACATTGTTATGCAGCCATCACCCTCTCCAGAACTCTCGCCACTGGGCAAAACTAAAGCTCTGTATCTATCAAACAATAATTCCCCATTCCTCCCTCCCCTCAGCCTCTGGCAACCACCATTCCACTTTCTGTCTCTGTGAATCTGACTCCTCTAGGGATGTCATGTAAGTGGAATCACATAGCATTTGACTTCTTCCATTTAGCATAATGATTTCAAGATTCATTTGTATTATGGCATATGTCACAATTTTCCCTCTTTTAAAGGCTGAATAATATTCCATTGTATATGCTATAGTTTGGATCTTAAATGCTTCTCCAAAGGCTTGTTCTCAAGAGTGTCACTTTTGAGAGGTGGGGCCTTGTAAGAAAGTCTTCAGGTCACTGGAGGCATACCCTTAAAGGAGGTAGTGGGACCCCAGCTCCTTCCTCTTCCCCTGTCTTTTTCACTTTCAGGCCAGGAGGTTAGGAGTTTGCTCTATCATGCATTTCTGTCATGATGTGCTGCCTTGCCACAAACACAAAGCAATGGGCAAATCAATCATGAACTGGAACTTTTATAATGATGAACCAAAATAAACTTTTTCTCTTTATAAGTTGATTATCTCAGGTATGTGTTATAGTGATGGAAAACTGACTAACACAGTGTGTATACACTACATTTTATTTATCCATTCATCTGTCAGTGGACACTGGGATTGTTTCCACCCCTTAATGATTATGATAATACTGGTATGAACATGTGATAATATGTTTTTATATTATAAATTTTTCATTAAATTGTCAGGTAATTGGAATAACCTTGGGAAATTTTTTTTTTTTTCAGATGAGGACACAGAAGTTCGAAGTTTCACTGTTACTACATAGCAGAGCAGGGTCCTGAACGTAGGATTTCCAAATCAACAGTTCTTAAATTTCAGCTCCACTGGTTAAATATTGGAGACAACATATATCTTGTTTTCTTTCATTTGGTTTGGTAAGGAAAGGAACACTGCCTAGAAGAGTTTCCTCTTTCCTGGATGAGGGAAGGACGTGGTGTCCTCTGTCTTCAAAATAATCTAAAACATTTTCAGAGACACAGAGTGAAAATAGCTCTTTTCCCCATAACTTCTTTCCCATTCTATAACTCCTGAGGCCTAGGGAAAGGCGAAGGAGGTGCACAGCTGAGGTCCCCCCAGCTCACAGTGATAAGGGATGCGTAGGATGCCATGTCTGCCCCATTAGACATCCTCTTTCCATTAGAAACTGAAGGATCTGATACTCACAGGCCCTGGGCTGAATGACGGGGGTTCAGGAAGTAAAGAGGCTGCCCTGGCCTCGGGGGAGTCATTGAGGACGGTGCTGGCTTCTGGGTCACTGGTACCCAGAACTATCCCCACTGAGTCCTGGCCACAGGAAAAGCTGTCCTCTGACCAAGCTGAAAGGCTCCAAAACATTAACTGCCTGTAATTTTGACATGTCAGATATGTAATAAGGAACAAATTAGCACTTGGGTCTTTTTTTCTGAGACAATCCAATTTCTATGCCAGGCACCAACTTCTATATTTCAAAATGCATTTTTGAAGGTTAATTAGAGAAGCGGCAGAGATAGTGTTTTCCAAGAGGGATTTTTCTGGTTCCTTCCAGGTCTATGGATGGCAGGAAAAAATAACTTTCAGACACCGTAAATTGAGTATGTGAAGCTGTGAGAATAAACCCATCTCATTAGTCATTGTGTCAATTATAGTATCTAAGGAACAATTTTGTAGCAATAGCATATTTATTTGATGTTGTGAAAGCTACCTGGACCCACTGTTAGGATGATATTTGCTCTTAATGCTCCGAGTACCTCTTTAACAAAATGGCACTCCATAAAAATTTAGTGTGTTCCTACTGTAATTAAATGGCCCTAGTCATTTTTGCATTTATGATATAAACTATAATGGCTGTAAAATCCCGCAATTAACTTTCCTTGCGCCAACATTTCATACTTGAGAAATTCTCATTACAAATTTCATTACTGATTCACTTATCTGTAATTTGTCCTATGTAACCTAAAGAATATTAACAAATTTAGAGTCACTTTTGCTCTATTAAAAACGAAATATAAAAGTGTTTCACCTAGCAAGTCAATCATGATATTTCCGAGGGCCCCCAAATGGGCCAAGTGTATTGATGAGGACAGGGAGGAAGAGAGAACAAGAGTGGGGTTAGCATGGAGGAAGATAAGTGGGGTGTCATCCCACTCACCCACCTATTCAGCCCGAGGCACAAATGCTCCAGAAGGAAGAGCCCTCAGGGAAAGGGAATCATGGGCCTCAGCTCCAGATTCTGGGGTTCCTTTCTTTCTGGGGAGTAGGGATTGGCTAGTGACACTGGCGGTGTTGTAACTGACTCTTCTGCTGATTTGCTTTGGCAGAGTCTATCTGAGAGACTTGGTTGCTACCTACTGCAAGATAGAAAGTTAAGTTCCACTGAGAAGCTTATATTTCAATGTTCCATCTCCTGACGCACCAAGTGGCTCATGGGGGAAATTTGGAGAAACCTCCCTATCCTCTCAGCTCTCCCCTTCCACCCTATTAAGGCAGAAATAAATACACACCCACATTAAAGTGAAGTGAACCTTGACTACCTAGTGTCAGGAACCCCTGAGTTCCTGTCCTTTTCTGTCACAACCCCACTGGGCAACTCTGGCAATATTTGTAACCTGTCTGGGCCCCAGTCACCAGGCCGAGGAAGGAAGGGTTTTTGCTAGAATGGCTGCCGAGACTATCTTCCTCAAGGACAGTCTACTTACTGGAAGAGGAAAGGCCAGGGCTTCTCTTTACCCTGCAAACAGGTACCATGGGGTGCCACAGGGTATCTGTACCAATGATCTCCACAGGAGCAGCCTGCGTAAATATTTTCCCCCAATAACATCCTATCTCAGCATTTCACTGCCTTCCATAACTGCATTCATTTTATTCTAATTTGTAATTAACTTTTACAAAATTAAATTGGAGATAGAAAATTACTGTCCCGACATAAATAATCCTGCTGCGGGATGTGGCAGTGTTAACGCAATCAACAATACGATTCATAAATGAAAGAAATGTTGTCATACTTATTACTTCTGTGTGCTCCATCTTTTATAGAATATTGCAGTGTAAATTGAAATTTTATATGATTTAATAAACCTCAAAAAGATATTATGGCCAAGTAACCACATAACTGTAACAAATTGTGCTCTTCCCTCATTACAGAGCTCTCTCCTCACACGGGGCTCTCGGCCTCATTATCAGAGCGGTGTCTTTGACAACCCAGAGCCCATTAAAAACACCTTGAAGAAAGCACACCCCACACTGCGGAGCTTCGAAATCTATACCAGGCTGCAATCCTTGAGGATGGCGTTGTAAAATGAGGAAGTGGGTCCTTTCATTTTTCATCCTAAGACTCGGGCAACAAAAACATGTTATCTGGCCCCAGAAGACCCGCCCCCATGCCAAGCCAAGCCTCTGCCTCCCCGCAACAGATGCTGAAGTCAAATAATCGAAACAGCAGCAGCAGAGAGATGTTTATTACTCCTCCAAATCTTTAGCTGGTTTTATAGGGTTACTAGTTTAGATTTAAAGTTTCTTTGTCTTCAGAGCACCAGACCTCCCATTTGGAGCTGATTGCCATTTTTCAAAGCTTTCTGGTTCACCCAGGGGTTCATTAGGGTGGTGGAGTACAGTGGGTGGATAGAAAGCCCAGCAAGGCAATCTCGCTCCCATTCCCTGTCCATTGGTCCCAGGCCTTGCCCAAGCTCCCTCACACTCCAATTTGGAAGAAGAAAGTTGGAAATGGAAGTACTCGCTAATCACATGCAGTGGTTCTTGGAGCCCGATGAGATTTCTGTAGCTTCCAGCAATGTGTGGGACACACTTGCAGTGAAGAATTTAATGACTTGTTTTACTGCCGCCCGCCATCAATATTTATCTATATTAACTGAAGAAAGGAATTACCTGAAATGGCATTTCACACCTCTGAGCATTATACAGTAATTCTGAAGCTGTAAGTTGTACCAAACTCGACCAGCAAACACAGAGATACAGTACGAACGGAAATAACTCAGCTTACACTTTTTCGACTTGAATTGTCTTGCAGCAATCTGGAAAACCAAAGTCGACATGATTTGAGTTGCTGGTGTTGGGAATGACTGGACAAGAATCTGTGGAATCAGTCCTTTCTCTGCTTGGTTTTTCTTGAGTTCATAAGAACACCTTTCCAGAAAAGAAAGGCTCAGACAGGGTGGTGAAACATTGCAGATTCCACCATGCTTCTTTCCACCTAAATCATGTGGGCAAGGAAGCCTGGATGATCCTTCCATATTTCCCTCCTCCAATGACTCCTATACTTGTTGCCTGCTTCCCACCCCCCAGCATGGACGCCCCCTGAAGGCAGAGTCAAACTGGACTCACCATTCAGAGTCAAACTGGACTCACCATTCCTTCTCTCTCTCTCTCTCTCCATATATATATATTTCCCTGCCTCCCCCCAGCCTAAGGAGCAAACTCAGGGCCTTAGCACATGCTAGGCAAGTTCTCTAACACTGAGTTAAATCCCCAACCCTCACCAGTCCTCCTCCTATACTGGAGCACAGGCCTGATACATGGCTGGGTCCTCTTTCTATTTGTGGAATGAATGATCCCAAATGGGAGAACAGGGGCTTGAATCATAGCAGGCATTTCTGGTATCCGTACAGACCACACCATATTGAGTGAACAGTTTTCAAAGGATCATTTGAACATCTTACACTTGAACTTTACCAGTGTTTTCAAGGGTAAAAGGACCTGGAAGATCAATTGAGCCAACCCTGAACCCTACAGAGAAGAAAGCTGATTCTTAGAGGAATGAAGAGACCAGTCATGATTGTTCAGAACCATGCTATGGCTGAAGTATCCCCAGAACTCGGTCTTCACACAGCCTTCCAGCCTGAGCTTTTTCTCATACTCTAAACTCTTGTGTCCCGTGATAAGCTCTGCAGACAACGGGGTCTAGAGTGGCTTGACTTTCATACTCTGATGGAAATGTTCTTTCTATAATTTTCCCATCTTTGGAAATTAAGTTTATGGGACATCTGGGCAAGAGGATTAGTCCTCAATTCATTATAGATAAGGTTTACATTTTTAATAACGGAATTAGAACTTTGGAGAAACTTTTTAACAGCACTATTAACCCTCTGTACTTAGATTTTATATTAATCTGAAATTACTCACCCGGTGACTTTATGCACTTTGGAAGAAACACAGACTTGGAAATAGACAGTGAACAGAAGGACACATGTTCGGGCTGATGCTCAGTCTTTCCAAAGTTGTAAAATCCCGCTGTTATTTGGTGGAGTCTGTGAAATAAGATTGATAAATTGCATATTTTCTTTTAAAAATGGAATGGGATTAATATTTTTCCATTTTAAATCTTGGAATCATTTCATGAATTAACTAGATATGCCCAGGCTTAGGAACTGCAAAGCTGAGAATCACTGAATTAAGAAGCAGAAAGACATTTGGAAAGACCTTGTGTCTACCAGCCCACATGCAGACATGACTTGTAGCAGGCCTTATAAAGTGATTCTTGTCCCTTAAATAAATAGGTAGGGATAGATTTAAAAGGGATCAGGAGGGGCAAAAAGCCATTCAGAAAATACTGACACATCTTGCTGTTTACAGGAAACAAGGGGCAGGTCTAACGTCCTAGGCATTAGTACTCATAGTAAATAAAATTGTGTGCTAAGATGGGATCTTTGCTCTAAATGCCACCTGTTTGTTAATTGTTTTGAATAAAATGAATATCAAAGGTAAAGAAAAGCATGATTTATAATATAGGACAGAATCTTTGAGAAAAGAGGAAATATGTGAAGCTTCTTTCAATACCCATTCAACATCAAATCAATATCCCATTTTTTTAGTGATTAATTCAAAAGAAGTATCCAGTGCTTAATATTTTAACTGATACATTATCTCAATCTTTTATTTATTCTCTATACTTCCAAAGCAGAATAATTTTAGAGTCAGTTGATCGTCTTATTGATACTGCCTACGTTATGGTCAATGGAACATGCACAGATTTTTTAAAAACAGTTTTAGGTATTAAATCAGGCTAGCAAAATATTTTCTTCATTTTTTCAGGCTAACAAGCAATGACAGGTATTCAAAGCATCAGACTGTCAACACTGTGACTTCTACTGTCATCTGCATCATAATCTGTTTCTTAGTAACACTTGGTCTGAGCAGCAGTAATAGAATTAATTATACTTCATTTTGCTGCCTTTAACAGTATTGACCAAATTTAAGAACAAATGAGAAGTGCTTATCAAGCTTGAAGAAAATAATCCATCAGTGGCACAATTTAAATTCTCTGCAGTTCTCTTATTAATCAAAGTAACACTTACTATCCTATCTCCACTTCCCATTAACAGTCATTAAGCCCTGCTGCTGATTGAAGCAATTTCTTTAGGGATCTCAATCTCATTTTTAAGAGAACTTCTTCAGTGGAAAACAATATCATAGAAGCGCAGAGACTTAAAAGAGAGGAAGAAGGTTCTTCAATCATGTTCTGACCTTGATATTTTTCAACAGTGTAAGTTCAAAGAAGTACACAACCGAGAATCCGGAAACTTCTGAGAGTGGATGGGCTGCCCTCACCTCACCACCTGAAGGAGGTGTCAATCCAACAAACAAGCCACAGGCTCCTGTTTAACACCTCAACTAGTCCCTGGGAGCCACCACAGCCCTTATTCTTTCACTCAAAGTGCTAGATGCCCGTCAGACACGTGCAGCAGAGGGAGGATCAACGGGTCTGCAGGCTAAAGAGGAGGCTGGAGTGGTGAGCAACACTGTTGACTACGGACCTTGAACAACCCGTCTACTGTCTCCATTTGCCTTTGGGATGGAGACAATATCCGCTACCCTGCTTATCACTCCCAATTGTTGCACAGGTCGAAGCACAGGAGGAAGTGCATGCGAACATCCTTTGAAATTGTGCAACACAATGCAAACGTTAGCTATTCAAGTCTCAGAAGTTGTGGGCAGTGTTTCATCCAAACCTATTCCCAGGGCTTTGCCATTGCTGGGACACAGGAGGTGACCAATAAGTGTTGCATTAATGCTACAGAAGCCCTATTTCTGAAACGAGAGTCAGATAACCCTCATTAAAACGGAGAAATCTTTTTTTTTTAATAAAAACATCTGTAATACACGTAGAGTGGAAGGGGCCACAGGCATATCAAACACAACTTCAGGGCAATGGGTAAAAACAAAACAGTGGAATCTGGGGAATTTAAAGGGCAATGCTTTTGCATCTAAAAATATTTCAGTATGATGGAGGAAATGGTGATCTCAAGAGGAAAAAGCCCAGAGAATGTGGTGGTTGGCAAGTTGAAACAAAATTGGCCTTGCTAGTTTGGCATGCCAGGGAAGGTGGGAGTGCAGGACAGGGGCATTTGCAAAGGCCCTCTGCCTTCTGCCCCTGGGAACCAACATCATTGCTACTCACTGTACCTACAGCAGCCAATTGCTAACAGACAAGCCACCAAGCTAAATGCAAAGTAATCCCATCCCAGCATGGGTACAGACATGGAGTTAGGCTGCAGGACTATATCCTCTCCCTACTGCCAATTTGTAGTGTGATGACATTTCCTTCTGGTTATTAATTGCAATTCACCATAATCCCAATTTCCATGAAAGCCAAACACTACGTGGCATGGTTATAAAATTTCAAGATGATAAAACACTCAGTATTCATCCTGCTCCATCTTATTGGTGAGAAAACAGGCTCAGAGAGGGCCAGTGGATTGCCTGAGGCCACCGAGCAGGGCACTGTAGGCCATCTTCAGCTGGTTCAGAAGTGACCTTGTTGCTTTGAGTGGCCTTTTGAGATGTGTTGGGAAGCTCTTCTCTTTTCCCCAAAGGAGGACATGTCCCTATGGAGGGAACATGGAGAACCCTCTTGGGTGGGTTTCAGCACTCCTATTGCTGTCCTATGCCTGTCCTTTAAATGCAGAGCCCTTGTGCTTTGGTTGGCTCAAAGATAAGGGCTTCAGAGATTGGGCAGCTGGGATAGATCCCAGGAGGATTCTATCAAGACCTGGATCTGAATCTGTTTGGCCAGCATGACCATGAAGATACCTCTCAATAGGATTTTGGGCCTGATGCATAAAGATGACCATATAATCAATGAAGAGATGGGAAAACCTCGGGTCCCAGTGACCACTGATGTCTCCCACTGTAGACTGTGTCTTGCTTTAGAGCCCAGTTGGGCTGGGAATGAATCTTCTTTCTTTGAAGAGATGTAGGGGACTCTCCACCACTTAATTTCTGATAAGACATTAAATGTATGCTTCTCATCTCTAGGAAATGAAATGCTGAGCTGGATTTTTGGATCAATGGAATACCTACTCCTGTTAAAGCACTTAAAAAGGAAAACATCTACAAAATGTCCCATTAGGCTGACAAATTTATAGCACTATGAAAAGTGTGCCAGCAGTTTCAAAGCCGAGTAGAGCGTTGTGTTTAAAGAGTATGAATGGATTTGAGTTCAGTGATATTTCATCCACATGAACAAGTTTAGCCATCCTATCTCTTCCCAATATTTCCCACACTTACTTTTAAGTAGGCATATGTATGCCATGACAGACTATGGACATCATCTTAAAAAATAAGTTGTAAAATGAATGATATTAAATGGACTTTCACAGCGTGAAGACGTGGAAATATATTCTCATCTTGATGTGTGGGGCTGTACAGACATAAATGCCATTAGCATTAATGGTAATTATGTGCGTAAATCCCCATGCTCTCGATGAGAATGTGCCCCTTAGTTTGCAAGTACAATGACTGGCTCATTTTTGAAACCAGAAACAGCTGAGACTTTTCCCCTCTCTACTGGGGAGAGAGATACAGGGTGGCTCAGGGCATCAAACCTGATCACTGCTTTCCCAAAACATGCAATTCAAGCACTTTAAAACTCTCTCACCTTGGAAGAGCTGAAGATGTAGGAAAGTGTTCAACCTGTCATCTGAATATCCTGGTAATTTATGCTACATCAGTCTTAGTTTCCTGTCACTGGCTGGGGTGGTTACACTCCAGGAGCGATGTTCTCTCAAAAAGACCTTGTTTTATTATGGTCTGATAAATATTGAGAATAATATTTTACAGCCAACCCAGAAAAAGCTGTTTAACTACAATGAAAATTTGTGGAAAGTAAGCACATTTAGCAACCCGTTTACCAAAGCCAATATATTCCAATCGTATTAAAACAGGCAGGCAGATGACAGATCTGGGGAAACGGTTCAAGTCTTCTCCCTTTAATTCTTAAATTAATAAGGCAGGGGGACTGAGTGTTTGGTTAGGCTTCACCTGATATAGTAGGAAAACAAAAAGTGCTCTTTGCCCCAAAGTCAGAAGACATTAACACAGAGCGCCACCCGCCTTGAAACTCTACACACACTTCATCAGGGTAAGAGGGAACAAAGTGACACATGTAATTAAAATATACTAAAAAAACAAGCCATTGCGCCTTTCAATTACCATGGAACTAAGAAGCAACCATATTATTTCTACAAACTATTTTCACTTAGCACAGTTCAGATGGAATTATTGCCATGACCTTTTAAAAATGTGAAAGAGTGAATCAATACCCTTTCACAGCAAGATTGCAGGAGCCGAATTGGCCATGCTGTAATGGTGTGTATTTCTGCATCAGAAGGCAGTTGAAACCTAATTATCGTCAATCACATACAAGGTAGCTCCACGTACTGATGAGCCGGTGCAGGCTGCCACGTGCCCGTGAAGGGCTGTGTATTTGGGGCTTCAAGAGGGACAGGCATGTGCGAAGGGGGTGGGGATCTCGGAAGCCCTGGGCCAGCAGAGTCAGGCTTACAGGTGAGTTATAGGGACTGTCACTCATTTACAATAACTAACACTAGCCTGTCAGAAACAGCCACCTGTAAATGATGTATGAGTGGCTGGCAGCCTGCCATCCCCCAACAGACCTTGCAGCCAAGAATCACATTTTATTGTCGAGGTCATCGGAATGCTTACTTGGATACATGCCATATATTATTTAAAAATAACAAACAGCCAATCAGCAACATTTCTTAAGGCTCAAGGGCAAAATAGCCAACTTGCTTTTAGAAAATAGGAAACAAATGCCCACCAGCCATTTTAGCAGACGATTTTTTTAATTGCTTCTCCACGGAGATAAAGAAGTGACACTCTGGAAAGTCCTGAGAGTAGTGATACCATGTCAGATGGAGAGAATACATATGGATGTTCACTTTTCCTAAGCTGTTTCAGACATGATACCAGCAAAACCCCCAAATAAACTCAATCAATAGCAACAACAGCCCCGACTGCCAGACTATATGCTGGTGACAGGTTTCCAGGCTCTGAGAACCATGGAAACCAGTTTGCAAGAAAAGAAAATACGGATCTCTGGTTTGATTTTTCATTCCATTCCCTCATTCTCAAACCTTCCTAAGAATGGTAAAATGATTCCATGTGCTGTGACAAACATTTTGCTTATGCAATCAATCTTTTTCCATGCCATCTGAAGGTCATGTTATGTTTTTAATTTCATTTGATAGCCTAAATATGGGTAAAAGATTCAACATGACACTCTTGTTTTTCCACATGAGAAATAAAGCATTATCAAATGGTATGGATATTAAGCCATGAAGAAGTGTTTGGACAGAGAGTTCCTTGCAACTTTTCTTGGAAATTATAGAAAACAGAAACCAAAAATAAACTATTCTGTAACTACACAATTTCAAATATTGTCCCATCTAGTTTGGTGTTGAAAATTCCTGTGACAATCAGTTTTCGTCATCCTAGGCCACTTGCTCCTGCACAAATGAAGGATTTGGCATATTTGTTAACATTATACAGTAATTGGACAATCTTTTGTTCAATGCTCTTAATGTTCCTGGAATGAAAACATTAAAAATGAACTTAAAAAAAATAGGAATACTCATTACATACAAGCAATAGTTTTTAATTTACAAAAAGAATCTAATTGAAATTACGTTTGTTATGCAGAGACTAACAATAATTATCTTGGCTTTAAATATGCAAACACAAAGATTCCTTTTGAATTGATGACTCTTTTTAGAAGTGGCTACTACTAATTGAATTTGGTGGTCCAGGGACCAATCTGTAATGTCAGGTGGTTGTTAGGTATACCAGATGGCCCTTGAGAGTGGCTGCAGCAATACACATATCTACCTGGGTCAACAACAAGAGGGTTCTGTGGGATTCCTGCCCTAGCAGGGAGTGACAGTGCTTGTCCAATCATACTCCCTCACCACAGCATTCTTGAGCTAGGCAGCTCTCTCCCCACAAAGGTGGCACACCATTAATTTACCTCTTGATCTCACCCATTGCAAATGAGGGAATGAAGGGAGTGATGAACTGTAAAGAGAAGTTGTGATCCTGCCCTCACTATTATTGCAGGGACTTTGATAAGAT